ATGTGTGTTAGGCTTCTCTTGTCTCCATGTGGATGTACAGGCAGTGAACCATGGTGACAAGGAACACACACACATTTCCATTCTGGTAAACACTCTGCTTGGTATCATCACTGTAAGGAAACCCAGGAGATCTAAGCCTGTGATTGGTGTCGTTGCTACAGAGCTTTTCCTGTATGTTTGGATATTAAATCCAATCCATGCTCATCAGGGTCATGCAACATGTTTCACGCTCCACTGATGTGTGATACAAGTTTCGGGGAATCAATATCCTGATTGCAGAGGCTGTATTACGATGAGCTGCCGGCATGTCCTGTTGACTTGGATGAATTTGAAACCCAACTGTGCGTGGAGTGTGTTTGTATGTTTGGAGCGAGAACCGTATGGAAGGTTGAGTTGGCTGACATCAGCTCAATGTCAATTTATCAAGAGTCCCTAAAGGCTTGGCCCCTTGTGTTACGGTATGCATGTACTGTATGCATTCATGCATGTGTGTGTAATCAGTGTGCAGATGTACGTGTACATCTGAAGTGTGTGTGTCTAACAGTAGAGATATTGTACCCACCACCCTGAGTCTTAAAGAGGATTCTTATATTGTTGGCTCTGCAGGCATGCAGGGCTTTAGCTAATGCAAAATAGATGAGTAATTACTCCCCAGCAGAGACAAGAGGAATGGCTCCATCATGAAACAAAAGAGAACAGAGATAGAAGGATGAAGTATTAGAAGGGAAAGCAAGGCAGTCATTTTATGCTCAGCATGGCAGTAAACATCTCTCCTCCTCTCTATTTCACACAACACTAGACCTCTCTCAGTCAGCCATGTATCTTGGGTCGTAACACCTGTCGATAGTTGGACTTTCTTGTTATTTCGCCAACAGACTGTTGATGTGCCCTTGTTATCTATTCTGAAAGGTCCAGCGTGAAAAGCATCTTTTGAAGAGCTGATTGCTAACAAGGGCAGGGTGCTTCCCTGCTGGTTGAATAGGGCTTTCTTTCTGTGGGCAAAGAGAAACCATTCACACATACTTTACATTGGATATCATGTACTTTCATATCTATTGCATAAAGAAACATTTAGAAACATACACCATAACAAAAAATCTAGAAAAAGATTGAAAGTGGACATTTTCCTCAAAGCCTAGCAACTACCTCAGTTTCCACAGTTACTTAGATTGGCCATCCACTATTTCTGCAACTGGGAAAAGTAAAGAATTAACACTGATACACTGGTAACTGGGAAAAGCTACTGATAACTATCGGGGAAAAACAAAAGCACGATCCTCTTCTTGTTTTGGTTGCACAATGGTTGAAGTACTTCCTTTGAGCTTAATTTTCTTGGAAGATTATACCCAGGGGCAGAGAGAATTGCATAGAGAAAGTCTTACAGGGAACCAATTTAAACGCAGATGGTGTCATTATTATCTAGCTATTACACTGTGCAATCAAAATTTACTTTATAAGGATAAGTTAACACAAAAAGTTGTCTATTTTCACTTTAATCTGACTTGAATCTTTTCACGTCTTTGTGTCAAATATTGAGCTACAGCAAATGGTGAGCTTAGCGTTAAGACTGAAACCAGGAGAAAACAGCAAGCTGAACAAGATTTGGACACCGAGCTTTTAAAGGGGTTGGCAAGGCTGAATCCAGCTTAATTGCTTTGTCAGCTGTACAAACAGTTCCAGGCCACCTGAAGTTGAATTTTAAGTTAAAGGTTAGACGTGAGTGAAGTTTATTATTCTGTTGCGCTGTCTGAATTATATCTCTTTACTCTGTGGCTGCATTAGTATTTGATTCCCTGTTGTGTTCACCTCCAGAGCAAATATAGCCATTTGTTTTTGTGGTCAGGCGGTGCGGGAATTCAAACTTGTTGCCTCAAATTCAAAATAGGTGATAGACGGCATTCCCATTGCTGGTAGACCAGTAGCAAACAAGTATGCCTTTCTGTTTTTTTTTTTTTGTTTGTTTGTTTGTTTTTCTTTTTTTCTGGTATGTTACGTTCAACGTCACAGACGGGCTGAAAACAGTTTAATAGACAGCAGAGAGCAGCATGGAGGCCATGGAAAGTGTTATAGTGGTTACTTTTTTGGTTACTTTTTCACATCTGTGACTTATTCAGTCACTCTTTCAGACTCGGTGCCGACTAGTTTTGAATGATGTTTGAGTGCTACTCGGACGGGGGCGGAGAGTATTTTGTGGTGGCTCGTTAAAGGTCTCTGGCTCCTCTGTGGCTAATAGTGGGCGAGCGGCACCATCAACCAGGACAAGGGGGCATACACTCTCTCGCACACATAGGATTTCCTCCTCCACAGACCATCCAACGGCGGGGGGTGTGGCTGGCAAAACAGATTCTGATAGGTCTGTTGGGCCGGCCAGCTGATAAATGACACGTCAGCTATAACCTTTCTTACTAAATACAAAAGTCAGATGTTGGTGGGTGTTAGTGGGTTTTGTCCAGTGGGAAAAGGGCTGTACCCGTCGGTCAGGCACCTGCACAATGACAGCTGGAACTGTAGGGAATTGCAGGAATTCCCTGTGTAGTACATGTCCAGCACACTCTGAAGGTCAACAGTAGAGTTAGCAACAACACAGACTATTGTGCTCTGAGCAATCCAAATTGGGAGAAAATATCAGGTGGTGATCAATCAATAGGGATTGATCGTCACCTGATATTGAATCAACACAATACCTGTCACCACTGTGCCATGTTATACAGCACAGACAAGTTGGTCTCAGCAGTGAGTCAGTTCAGATTCAATTTAGATCAAACACTGAGCACAATGTTTTCTTTCTTCTACCTTTTCTTTTGGGGGATTATGCATCACTGAACAATCTGCTCGGAGGCTCTTCTGCCTCTTTGGAGTAAATGAGTGGTGCGTAAAACATCTGCAGTGATGTACGGTCAGTATTAGGGAGGAACCTGGGGCAGCTGTTTGAGAGGAACCAACTGTCTGATAGACTGTATGCCCTGATAATAGCAGTGCAACCCCATATGTTGAGTAAAATCTGTAGGGATGCCAGACAGACGACATAAATGCTCTTCAAAGATGAGATGGATGAGAACTTTGCGTTGCACACACACACACACACACACACACACACACACACACACATACATTCCCGTGTGAACCTCCACATTTTACTCACATGGAGAAGCTAGCATGTGCCTAAGCTAACAGGATTTGATATATTTATACATTTCTCTGTTCATGTTTGGATGACTCATCTATCAGTGGGTGTCCTGTGCCTTGATCTTCTTCCAGATTTAATTTTTTTCACTTTTTGACTTTGAGCTGCATTCTTTTCCCTCCTCATCACCGATTCCTTCTTTTCTGTCTTATGAAATTTATTTATTGATTTTCACATTTCAAGAATTAAGGTTATCCTCCTTTTCATTCCCGTCCAACTTCCGTCCTCATTTTCGCTCTTGTTTTCGTCTTCAGTCCAATCTGATAATGACTGGGAGAGCTGAGGCTCAGCCAGACAGTCAGACAGCCAGTAATGAGGGCAGGAATACTGATTAGTGCAATGAGCGGCTTGTTCCAGGTTATTACATTATATACTCTGGATCGGAGGCCATTTGTCACTTGAGTCCCCGTTGAGACGGCAAGGTGGCCTCATGGTGTGCAAAACCATCTTTAGGCCAGGGGACCCATGTTGTCTGTAAGCATCTAGCTTGTTGAAGTGTCCTTGAGCAAGACTCTAAATCTTTTGCTGCCAGGAGGCTGTTATCTTTTTTCTCTTCCCCCCTACCACGGGGAGCCTGCCCTTCTGACGGCAGTGCAAAGAGAAAAGAGGATTCCTCTGCAGGAATTAATAAAGTATCATATTACTGTCAAAGGTTCTCAGTAGGCTATTTTTAAACAAGCAGAAAAAAAATGTTGGAGAGAGAGAAAGGTCTGTCGGGCAGTTGGTTAGTCCACCATGTTGGTTCTATTAACTATTGGATGGATTAACATAAAACTTTCATTCATTGTAGCCAAATGACTCTTCTTGTGCCACCAGCAGGTCAGAGTTTTCACATATAAAATGTTTCACATATACTAAATGTGCTGCTACAAAATTTTGTGCATTCACAGTTTCCACATGGTGTATCCTAATGTTTTTGGTGGCACCCTAACATTTCCTTTGAGGTTGGCAGTTATGGTTTTAAATGAAATGTATAGCCCAGTTGCTAGAGGGAAATGACGTTGTTTCATATGTATCATATCAGTGTCTCTAAAGTGGCATAGTGTATGATGTGCCTTTGTCAACAGAAGGTGGAGGGGACAGCAGATGGCACGAAACCTAGGCAGACTACTGCAGACCAGTGTTTGTGACCAACAAACAAAACAAAACTAGTTGTTTTCTAGTAACACATCACTGTTTTTCCAGCAGCTTTTTAGCCATAAAGTGACTGACCTGTCACTTTATTTCCACCAAGAACAGCACAGTTTATGCCAAGACATCATTTTTCAGCGGGGATAGTGTCAGGAAAAGCAGTTGTTTTTATACTGAGACATACCTGTGTTTCCAGCGGTGATAGTGCTGCAAAAAGTGGTTGTTTTTATGACAAGACATTCCTGTGTTTCAAGCAGGAATGAATGGCATTACATAAAGCAAATGTTTTTATAATGAGACATTGCTGCTTTTTGACCATGAATACGTAGCGTTACAAAAAGTGGTTGTTTTTAACTGAGACTTTGCTGCTTTTCCAACTGGGAAAGTGTCACAAGAAGCATTTTGTTTAAAATACCAAGACATCGTTGCATTTCTAGCCAGGACTGTGTTACTGAACAACAAAACGATCTTTTCCGAACATAAAGATTCGTACATTTTGAGCATCATCTGTCTTTTCATTTAGTGCTATAATCAAGTCAGAACTGTATTTCTTTTCTCCAGTTTGGTTCAGTTTGGTTTAATATCTGCAAAACTAATGACATTCCCATCAGCCTAAGCTGTGCTTTGTGTTGTTTACTTTCAATAATAATGCCAACTTGTATCTTCTGTGTCTGTCTCTCTGCAGAACTTTGATGACTTCATCTTTGCATTCTTTGCCATTGAAATGGTGATCAAAATGGTGGCTCTTGGGATTTTTGGCAAGAAGTGTTACCTCGGAGACACGTGGAACCGCTTGGACTTCTTCATAGTGGTGGCTGGGTGAGTTATGCAGTTACACGCGCAAACATGTGCACACAAACACACAGGTGGCCGAGCATAACCGTGCGTAAACACTGTAGGCTTTCACAAGAAGCAGTACACACACACACACACACACATGCAACAAATTTGAGCAGTAATCAATCTGCACGTCAAGATTTGAGAGTGCAGGGAGGACAGAATCTAGAGAGTTGTTTTGAGCTTGTACATGTAATTGTGTCACCAGATTTCAACGAGCTGCAGGGTTTTCTTTGCTTGATGCCCCCAGAGCAGATCAAACAACACTGGATTTAAAGCATGAACCTGTTAGAACCAGTCCTCTAAGTAACATCAGGCCTCTCCTCTGTGCGCTCCACTGGGTTTGTCATTAAATGAATTTACCCTGAATGTCCTGTAAAAGCCTTTTAAAAAGGAACTGGTAGCAAGTACCCTCTTAAATTCTTAAGTGCTCAGAATCTGTCAAACAGCTGAAAAGAGTGAGATCAGATTTAAAGAGTGAGGGTGTGAATGCAAAATTAGTTTTCTTTTGAACTTGTTCACGATGTTTACTTGAGCACTTTGTAACTTCACATGCAGATTGAGGCAATTGGAGCTGATTGAAAAGTTCTGTGCTTATCAATCGCCCTAACATAGATATGCACGCTCATGCTTAAAGCTGCATGCAGCTGTGTCCAGGCACACAATACACTTGCATGCACTTGCAGGCCTGTTTACACAGATGCATGTTAACAGACATACTATGCAAGCAATGTATGAACACAGCGGGTGCAGAAGCTCACACAGTGACACTCGCAGCAATGCACACACACAGTAATTTGATTAAACATGTTACAGAACATAGCCTGCTGATTTTGGTCTGACATTTTCATCACACTACATCCCCTGCTGGTTTTTAATGCCATCCTTCTGCCACAGCTTCTGTTGTCCATCAGTAGGAACAGGGGGCATTTCGTTCTGTTTGTGTGACTGTGCGTGTGTGCTTGTCAAAGCGTGTCCGTTTGGGCAGAGATGAGATACATTTCACTTACTTGTATGCAGTAACACACCTATAAATATAATGAAAAGAGATATTCTACTTTGATGCATACAGATGAAACTATAATGTACTGCTGGGGGAAACTGGGTCATTGCAGCAGTGCAGGTTTAGCACAGGCGTTAGATGAAATATTACGATATGGAATTTCATAATAAAACATAATGGAAATAGACAAACTCATCTGTTTTATGAATTACAATATTAGACTGAAATTGAAAGTTAACTCAAAGTTTTTATTTTTGTTTAATATTGTGACATGGTGATTTGGATTGGGTTTTTCATAAATAAATCCAAATTCTAATCTTGTCGGATATATTCTGTGTGACTATCACATCTAGTTTCCTGGGAACCAGCCGAATCTGCGAGCTCGTGTTTTATTTGCTCTGGCAGATGCGTCTGGTCCCCCTCCACTTTGGATAAATTTCCAGCAGCCTGAGGACATGCTGAACCAATCACAACAGTTTATCACTTTGAGACAAAGACCATGAAAAGAAGCATTGTGGGGGAGGCATTTTTGAAAACAATCAAGATGGCTGCAGCTGATGTGGAACTTTCTGTTGAAGTCAGTATTGAACGAACAGGATGGTATATTTACGCTAAAGAACAACCAACTGCTCTTAAAGCTTTTCTTGAGAAGAAAGATGTGTTTCCCACACTGTGCTGTGTCACTTGTTAATAACCTGTTGATAAAGCCCCTTGGAAATCAAAAATAATATGACATGCTACAGAATAATTCACAAATGCGATTTGGTAAATGTCAGGCAAACATCTCGGGTTGCAACTACAGTAACAAATCTTTTTGTTATTGATCATGCAGCCAATATTTATTGCAATTTGCTCAACTACAGTCACAATTTTCACAGCCAGAGTTGACATTTCAATTACTTGTTTTGTCAAATCAACAGTCCAACACTCCCAGAATTTTCAGTTTACTGCCATAGAAGTGTAACAGAATTAATAAATATGTACTTTTGTGAAGCTGGAACTACTGAAGTTTTGGTATTTTTGCTTGTGTACTCAAGCAGTTGATTGATTACCAAAATACTTTTCAAGAACTTTTCTGTTGATCAGCTCTGATCACATTGTGAAAATACTGTATTGTGAGATGGAAATACGTATCATATTATAGCTCATATTTAAGCAATATCACACGAGAGGGAGTGATGTTATATTCGTATATCGTCATGGCTGTGATTTGGTCATAGGCACGAGGCCGCAGGCATCACGAGCTCGAGTGTGATATTGCTTTTATACAACAGTTCAACAGTTAAATAAGCAAGGCTGATTAAGAAATGTTGAAAAATGAGGACAAAATAGATAATTTAAGCATTTTATTTGTCTTCCGCCAACAAAAATAGTTCCCTCAGGACTCCTCTGTCACCGTTGCTATGTAACGCAGTCATGGTGCGCCAGGCACTTACTCTTTATACACATTTATCTGCACGTTTCCATTAATTGTGCAGCCAGTGAAATAAGTTTCTGGTGACTGCATGGTGGACTGTTGCTTCACAGGCACAGCCGACTCTGCCTTCTGATCTGACAGTATGTTGCTTTTCTCCAAGTCATTGAGCTCTGCTGATGAAACACTGACAAACCTGGATGTGTGCTCAGATGAATTCAGCTTCTCCTCTCCCTCATCTTCCTCTGATGACCATTCATAGTTCAATTCAAACTTATTTTAGGAAATAAATCCATATTTTTGGCTGTTTGACAGTGGATGAATTAATTAGCCTACAATGCAACTGCTGACCTAACTGACACTAACCGTCAGTTTTGATTTGATTGTTGATTGCAATCAGCTGTGAGGCGGAGTGATACATACACAGTGAAATAACCGTGATGTTGTACTCCAATATCATCACGGTTTTACTGTCTCTCGACCAATCAGATTGCAGGGCCGGAACTAACTGTTGTATAATGTTGAATACCTCATAAGAGTATAATAAGTGTCTGACATTTGGTTAGGATCAGCTAACTGAAAGTATTCATTGGCACTTTGTGGTGGAACATGAACAGAAATAGTGTATGTACATGCAGAAACATGTATGTGTTTTCAACATTTAAGATGAGGGTAAGACATAACGGTCAGTTACAGTGTAGACCAGGAGTCAGCAGCCTTTTTTATGATGAGTGTCAAATTTCAAAGATTAGGTTGGCTGGTGTGCCAGTGGTATTTGTTGACATGTATGAAATTTATTCAAGTTTTATACACTGTCAGTTAGTTACTCTATTTTTACTCTATCAATAATGTTAGACTGCAGGTCATTGTATCCTCATACGACTCGTATGATATCCTATTAAAGTGCACTGGTTTGTTTGACATCCTGTCCTTTATGTAAAGTTATGTAATTTATGGAAAGTTACGGAGAATAAGTTTCGGCAAGTAAAATTACTTTGGTTAGGTTTAAGAAGAGAAACATGGTGCCTTAAAATGAGTCAAAGTTCACACGGATCTGAACATCGGTCTCACCCACTGCCCCATCCTCCCCCTTACTGGATCACTTGCGACCACTTCCTTGTTTTCTCCCGTCAGCGTATTGGTCACATGATGGCAGCCTTCCAAAATACGTGGATTATGCAAGAATTACTGGCTCCTGATTACGTGGGATAAGTTGGATTTTGGGTGCATTACTTTTCATATGAAAACATACAGACAGCCTGCTCATTTACTCATTCACTCATACAAAACCATGTTGTGACATTGGCTACCAAGAAATCTAATATAAACTGGGTTTACCAATAGCGTGATCCTTCTCTCTGCTTGTCCCTGTTCAGTTGTGCTACGTCTGGTCTGTATATTCCCTCCTTCTCTCTGAATGGTCTGTTTTCAGTTGACAGAGACACACACAGTGTCATCGATGTCCACTCTTTCATTCACAGCCATGCTGAACACCAGTGCATTTCTCAGTGCGGTTTGCCGGATGTGCACATTTTCCGTTGTATCAGTAATGTGCCTCTCAGTAGTTCTTGCAACAGAGGTGAGTCCTTAATCCCGGATGTGATGGTGTCTTTATGGAGCAGTCTATCCAACATAACCTCTGCCTCCGTTGAAGCAAGCCTCTTTTATGTTTTCTCTGTCTGGAAACACACCTGTAGCATTTCCTTCTGAAATGTTATAGCTATCTTCTGTAGCCTGATTTTAGTTTTTATAACATGCTCCTTTGCTTAGCATGTTTTTATGCTACCGCCCTTTTGATCGACTCACCTTTATTGGACTCATTTTTGAAGTTTTTCTCTTGCTTGGCTTCAAAATGACATTTTACACCGGATGTTTGACACACCAGAGCTTTGCAGCAAAATGCACATATGGCTCGGTCTCCTCCTCCAACGAATCCAGATAAGGTTGATGGGCTGGGCTGAAAAGTCCTGCAAGATTTCCTTGCCGTGTTGAGTGCAAATTGGTGCGATGTGGACTCCTCTTGGCCAGATGCTTACTGGAAACAGCACCTGTGCTGCTGTGCATCAAGTTTTGTGACTATTTGTGCTTTCATTTGCTAATTGGACAGTACGTTAACACATGTTTATACCATCTATTCCTGTCTCATAACTGAATACAGACCATGCCACATTTCTTTTGTGGTGCAAAATATGGGGGATATTTATGGACTAAAATGATATACTCTATGCAGAGATGTGGCTAAAATATTTCTGCTCATATAGAGCAGACAATAAGTGCAGGAACATGCTCATGTCATGTACGTGGACTGTATGTGAGGAAATCCTATTAATACTTCTCACATAGACTTTAATCCGACCTCCTGCTTGACTTGATAGCATTACATTGATGGAAACTGTTATTGATGGAGATGTATTTCGGTCCAGCCGTCTGCATGCACTGTAACATGCAACTGTGATGTCATGCTGTCAGATCGAGCCTGGGAGCCCTATCACATATCACCCCCTTTTCTCTCCGTCTGCGTATTTCTTGTCACTCTTTCCTCTGTAGCTGTGAAAAACGTCACAA